AATAAGACAAATAAAGACAAATAAAGCACATGAAACAAGAAGAAGACCGGGATCGTGAGGAGCTGCGTTCCGAAAGAAGCGCAAATCACGACCCTTAAAAGACAGTAAACTTTCGAATCTCAAGCTTTGGCTGCGGTGATGGGATGCATGGTTGGGGAAAGTGACAATGCCCAACCGCTGGCAACCATGTGAAGTCTATAAGTGTTAAGCAACCAAAGGAGACAATAGGCGGCTAGTGAAAGTCCCTTTGCTCCCTGTGAGAACTAGAATCCGGTCTGATAAAGCTAAAGTACAATCGCGAAGCGGCGTGGGTTACCCGCAGGAAAGTGGGGCATCCTTGGTCCTAATCCCTACTCCCCCCTGCAGAACCCTGCGGTTTTTCGTTATGAATGAATAATTTCCCTACCGCGGAGCAAAGCTAAAGTCAGAATCTAGGGGTTACAATGTACTGTCCGGTAAGTGTGCCGTATGGCCGAGTACTGGAGGTCTCGCTAAAACCTCCAATATTAAATCATGATGAGCTACGAGCAAAAGAATAAACGCCCGGGGATTCGAAACCCTGGGACCCGATTTGCTGGCGGTATTGTCCCCGCCACCGGCCGATCGGCAGCCAATGAGGCTGACTCATGCAAGGGGCTAAGCTGGGAAATTAGCGTCGAGTTCCCAACTAGAAGATGCTATCGGCGAAGATAGAAGGAACAACTCACGAGGAGAGGGACCAAGAATAATTTCTATAGAGGAGACGAACTTTAGACTGATGGCAAGTAGCCCGACAAAGAAAGGTCCGATGAACGAAAGTGGAGAGAGACTGATTCAAAGAGTAAACAATGAAGCATCAATAGTAAAGGGACCCATTCCGATATCCACGGAATCGAAGGAAGAGAACGCGATTACGAACAAGAGAAAACTGAGTAGGTCGGTGGGATCTAGGTCCCTATCGACCTCTTTCAGTCGATATGGAGAGGAGAAATTAAATAGAAGCAGTTTTGAGAGGTTTAAAAAGAAAAAGAAAAGAACGACGGCTAAAGAGGGCATAGCGCTGGCATTTCCAGAGGGGATGTCCGTTAATCAAAGAAAAAAAATTAGAGAAAATATAGAGATGTTTTCTGAATCCACGCCGGGACAGATAGTAACGGAAACATTGAGGCTGCTGGATATGGCATATGACGCCTAAAAAAAAACGACATCTATTAGGGGAGATTTAAAACATGGATTGATAATAGGAATTGAAACGGCAAGGGCCGCAATACAGCTATTCGCCGGCCGAATGAGCGTGGCGGAGCTGGAGAAAGTAGATGTACAGAAATACACGGAAATGGAACGACAAATGGAGATAATGACGGAAGAAATAAATAGATTAAGGAATGAAGTAAAGGATATCGAAAGCATGAGAAATGAAATAGAGGAACTGAAAGCGGGACATAGGAGGATGGAGGAGAGTAAGGGACTGAAAGGTAGAGAGAGGAAAGAAAGAGAAAAAACAGCCCCTAAAAAATTGGAGACTGGGAGTCAAAGAGACAGGAGGATACTCGAGAAATATGATGAAAGAGAGACATTCGAATACCGCTCTCAATCTATGAGGTTTTTATAGGAAGCGGAAAGACAAAATCAGGAACAATACCAAGGATACACTTACGCGGCAAGAACGATTAGAAACTCGAGCGCGAGAGGGTACAGGGCACCCCCTGCACTCCCCCAAAGAATTATCGAAAGCAGAAGATGGCCATACAGACCAGTAATGTCAGCCACTAGCGACGGGGGAGGATACGAAGGAGGCATTAGCGATAATAGAAGCGCTCCCGGAGGGAGAAGCGAGCAGATAAATCGTGGACACCCGGGAAGATGGAACCAGATAGGAACGGGAAGAGGAGGAGGCTCAAGAGTGGGAAGCGCATATGCGATCCCGGGAGCGAGGAGAAGGCTGGCAAGAGTGCCAATAATAATAATAGACATAGAAAAGGAAGGACCGACATATACAGAAGTGATGAGGAGGGCCAGAGAAAGTATATCGTTGGAGGAAACAGGTATCAGAGATACCAAAGTTGGTAAGACAATAAATAGATCACTGTCCATACAAATATTCGCGGAAGACGCCAAAAGAAAGGAACAGGAATTGGTGGACAGATTAAAAACGGTACTAGTGGAAACCCCACAAGTCAGAGTACACTGCCCCACTCCAATGGAGAAAGTGTTACTATGGGACATTGATAGGACGATAGAGGAGTCTGAAATCACACGAGCGCTAAGTAAATATATAGACGTTGGAAAAGTAGATGTAAAAATTGGAAAAATGAGAATGAACAGAAATGGACTATTTTCATTATGGATAAAATGTCCCCTGGAAAATGCGATAAAACTGATGAAAAATGGAAGAATCAGGGTAGAATGGAGCATGCTTAGAGTGCAATTATTAAAAAAGGGACCAATAAGATGCTACAGGTGTATGGCTGCTGGGCATACGAGGGAGAGGTGCCCTAGTAGGATGGACAGAACAGGAAATTGTTATAACTGCTGAGAGAGTGGACACATTGTGGCCAGTTGTAGGGCGGCGCGCGCGAGATGTCCAGTATGTGCGGAAAGGGGCAGAGATAGCAGACATAGGGCGGGAGACGACAAGTGTGCTCCAGTTCCCGGAAGACAAATATCGCCGAGAAAAAGCGGAGGGGGAAAAAACACGAACACGAAGAAGAGACAAGGACATTGACACAAGCGCAACCGCAGAGTCAGACGCAAGAGGAGAGGGAAGGGAAAAATGGAGAAGATGGAGAACAGATGGAAGTAATGGAAATCACTGCTAATCGGAGTACGGTAGCAGATTCGTTGGAGGATGCCACGTCGTGGAAAAGTCCTGCAAATAATACCAACAACTCGCGTACGGCATTAGAACTGGCGCTGGAATATAAAAGGAAAGAGAAGATTGAAATATGGTGTCGGAGCCGCCAAGAATTAGATTGGATAGGTGGATAGTATCGACTGATGGAAGATCGATCGCAGTTACGCAGATGGGAGCGAGCGAAGGGCAGGCACTCGCGGCGCTTGAGGTAGCGGAGGGATACATCGCGGTGAGGTGGGAGGGGATGGTGCTTATTGCTACCTATTTTTCCCCAAACAAGAATCTTGCGGATTTCGAAAAATACTTAGAAGAGATAAGTAGGTGCTTGTGTAAGTATAGAGAGGCACCAGTCATGGTGTGTGGGGACTTTAATGCGAGAGGTAGAAGATGGGATCCCATTTGAGAAAATCCTAGGGCAAGCGTATTACAGGATTGGACCGAGAGCGAGGACTTGTACCTAATTAATACCGGCAGGGAAGTGACTTGCGAAAATCCGAGAGGAGGCTCAGTAGTCGATACAACCAGGGGCTCCTTCGCGGTGCTGAGAGACGTGCAGAACTGGTGGGTGGATAGCGCTACCGATTACCATTCGGACCATAAGTACATAGTAACGGAACTGGAGGAAAATAACCATAGCGTAACAAGAAAAAAGGAGGACTTTCCGAGATGAAAAGCCATGGAATTTAATCCGGACCTGACCAGGGCGGTGGTGGAGATAAAAATGTGGCAGAGTGTGGCAGGTGAAAACGAAGTCGACAGGGAGAGGAAATTGGAATGGTGGAGAGATACTCAACGGGACGTGGCATCGATGCCCAGGACTGGAAAACCATCAAACAGGGAGCCAGTTTATTGATGGAATGAGAAGATTGCGGAAACGAGAAAAGAGTGCAATGAGACAAGAAGAAGGATAACGCGTGCGAGGGCAAAAAGGAGAAACGGTAACAACGATGACGAGGCAACGAAAGAAGCGTGGGCAACACTTAAACAAAAAAGGAAACAACTACGAAGGGAAATATGGATAGCGAAAGCAGATTGTTGGAGAGAGTTAATGGAAACTTTGAACGAGGAACCGTGGAAGAGACTGTACATGATTGTCATGAAGAAAGTGCGATCGCGGGAACCGTCAGTGTTGGAAAGCCTTGATGATGAAAGAGTAAAAAGAGATTGTAGAACACCTGTTTCCGAGCACGGAGATACAATACGAGGAAGCGGAGACCCGGGAGAATGAGTAGAACAATGAGAACTCAATTACAGAGGAGGAGATGGTCGAAGCGATAAAGGGTGTCTCCAAGAGAAAAGCACCAGGCCCGGACGGAATATCGGGCTTTTTGATAAAAGGGATAGTTCTGGTACTAACCGAGAGACTAGAAAGGATTTGTAACAAATGTCTAAAAAATTCGAAATTCCCAAAGGAGTGGAAACTGGCGAGATTAGTATTACTTAAAAAGCCGAACGAGAAAGGAGACTCACCATCGGACTTCAGACCGATTTGCCTGTTGAATGAATCGGCAAAATTGATGGAAATGATCGTTAATAACAGATTACAGAAATTGCTGGAGAGGGAAGATAGATTGGCAAATGAACAATATGGGTTTAGACCAAATAGGTCAACGGTCGACGCGGTGTTGCGCCTCAGGGAGTGGACACAGGACGAGGTAGCAAAGAACAGGCTGGTGGTAGCAGCGTCACTTGACATTTCCAACGCCTTTAATTCCATTCCCTGGGGCGTCATAAGAAAGGCCCTAAGAAGCAAAGACATTCCTGAGTATATATGTAAAGTGATAGACAACTACTTGTCGGAACTGGTATATCAGAATGGGAACGGAGGCATGAAGTTTGCGAACATGAAATGTGGGGTATCGCAAGGGTCGGTATTAGGACCGACGTTATGGAATATCGGATATGATGAAATACTGAGAGGAAGATTGCCCTTCGATTGCAAAGTAATATGTTATGCGGACGACATCTTGATCGTGGTCGGAGAACAGTGTACAGGAAGCGAAACGTGCGGCGGAGTATGGCACAGCTGCAATAATAGACAGAATCCAGAAGCTGGGATTGAGGGTGTCCCTCCCTAAGACACAAGGAAGCGATATTCTTTGGTGAAGGCGAGCATCTTGAGGACGAGATAATGGTGGGGACCGCGACCGTCCGCGTGGGGACCACCATGAAGTACCTAGGTTTCTACCTGGACTCGTGGTGGTCCTTCCGCGGACACTTCGACAGGATACTGGAAAAGGCGGAAAATACAGCGACGGCTCTGAGTAGGCTCATGCGAAATCTGAGATGCCCGAGGCAAAGAAGGAGGACGTTATATGCAAACGTGGTGATATCCATAATTATGTACGGGGCACCATTGTGGGAAGATGCGATCAGAGCGGATAGACGGATAAGAGAGAGGGCGGGAAAAATATTTAGAAGGTTGGCGCTAAGAGTAACATCAGGATATAGAACAGTGTCTCACAGCGCGGCGGCGATTATGTCGGGCATGGTCCCCTTCGACTTGAGGGCGGAAGAATATTACAGGGTGTACATGGAGTTGCGAACGGTGCCTAGGGTGAACAATAGGGTACCGGAGCTAAGAAGAAGGGCCATCAAGACTCGGAAACATGACAGGATATTAGATAGAAATAGAAGAGGAGGTTACTAGAGATAAAGGAATACGCGCCGAGATATAGGGTGGCACAGGCGTTCGCTCCACACCTAGAGGAATGGATAGACAGGAGTGGAAGAGAGGTCACCTATAGGATAATGCAGATGGTTACGGGACATGGCTCATTTTCACTGTACCTTTACGAGATAGAAAAAATTCAGTCGCCAATATGCAAGTTCTGCAATACGGGCGAGGAGGACGATGCGATACATACGTTGAGTGAATGTAGATTCTGGCAGGAAAAGAGAGAACCTCTCCATGTTGCGTTCGGGAGGGATATCACCTTAGAGAGGATTGTAGAACGAGTGCTGGAATCAAAGGAGAAATGGAAAGTGTTTGCAAAGTACTGTGAGGCGGTCATGGATTTCAAGGAGAAGAAAGAGAGGGAGGATGAAGCAAGGGCAAGATTATTGAGTGGGGTCAGGATGCTGAGATAAAGGGGAGCGATGGAGGGATAAAGTATGAGGAGTGAGCGAGTGAGTGGTTGGGAATGAGATGAGAAGGTGAAATTGGTCGTGAATGTGAATTCGGGGGGGAAGGTGCGCGAGCGCGAGAAAGAGGGGCGAAGAGAAGAGGGGAGGAAATAAGATAGAAAAAGGGGAGCATAGCATAGCAATGCGGCGACGACGTAGGTTTTTCCCGAGACTTAAAGGGGAGTCTTTACTCGTAGGGTGGGGGCTGGCTTGATGAATGCCGAATAGGCGATGCCGGGCCAGTCTCCCAATTACTCGCGATAGGATCGGAAAAGGGGGGGTTTTTAGTTGGTAGGCGTGCCGCCGGTTGATGTCAATGGAAACCAAATGGCGGAAGTCGCATCCCTGGCTGCACGAATCCAACACACCCAGCTGCACTCGGGTGTCTTCCCCCTCTATGACGGCGTACCTGGTGACGGATCTCTTAACCCGAGCCGAACCCGGGGCGCGGGATTGGAGGGGGCAAAGTGAAGGTTTTCCCCTCCAACGAGAAATAAAAAAAAAGTCAGATCAGTCAAGGATATGGATAGACCGAAATTAAGGGAGGAGCTACGTCGACTGTTGGGCATGATACATTATCATATGAAGTTCTTAAATCACTTAGCGGACGTAACTCAACCTCTTCGGGAGCTATTAAAGAAAAATAATGAGTTCATATGGACAGCAGTTCATAAACAAGTTTTGATAAAATAAAAGCGAGTTTGTTAAAAGCACCGGTATTAGCGTTCTATAACTCGACGAGAAAAACTCATATACTAATTCCTCGAGCTACGGTCTAGGCGCAATACTGGAGCAAGACATGGGTTGTCAGTGGTAACCAATTAGCTACGCATCAAGGGGTCTTACAGCAATAGAGAAAAGATACCCTCTGATAGAAAAAGAGACACTGGTACTCACGTGGGCGTGCGAAAAATTTGCAGACTATATAATAGGTAAGGAAATAACCTTGATAACCGACCACAAACCGTTGGTGGTATTATTGGGGAACAAGCCATTAGGCGAACTATCAGCACGAATTCAACGATTCCGCATGAGACTCGTGCGATTTAATTATACAGTCAATCATGTGCCGGGACGTGAATTATATACTGCAGACACGTTATCCCGCGCCCCCCTACAAGATAAGATTAGCGAAGAAGATATTCTGCTTGACGAAAGTATGGATCTATTCGTACAGGCCATTGTGAAGCCGCGACGCTGGTCGGAGACAAACTGTTGAAAGAAGTAACAGAGGTTCAAAATTGTGACGTCACATTAAATATACTTCGGCGGTATATACGCGAAAAATGGCCGACTCATAAAGCGAGTGTAAAAGTAGAAGCAAGGAAATTCTTCGAACATCGAGGAAATCTGACAGAATTAAAAGGTATTCTAGCATATGGAACAAGGATATACATACCAACCGGACCATTAAGAAAACAGATGCTTGAGCGGTTGCATACGGGACATTTGGGAATAACTCGGTGCACAGATAGAGCGAGAGAAGCCATCTGGTGACCAGGCATCAATACTGATATCAAGAATCTGGTATCACATTGCAAACAATGTTTAGAACACAGACCACAGGGCGTAGAACTGTTATTACAAACGCAGTTTCCAGAAAGACCGTGGCAAATAGTGGGAACAGATTTGTTTCAACACAGAGATAAAAATTACGTCATTTTTGTTGATTGTTTTTCCAGGTACTTTGAAATAGCCGAATTAAGAGTCACATCATCAGCAGCGGTCATTGACGTTGCAAAAAAGATTTTTGCTAGGTTTGGCGTGCCGGAAATAGTGCGAGCTGATAATGGGCCGCAGTATAGAGAAGAATTTAGACAATTTGTCAAGAACGAGTGGCACTTCAGATTAATAACAAGCAGTTCATATCATCCACGGAGTAACGGGGCAAGTAGAGGCAGGCAGCGGTAAAAATAGCAAAGGCCTTGCTATTCAAAGAGAAGGAAGTGGAACAGGGTCTTTTAATATACAGAGCAACACCGCTGGAGTCGGGTGTTAGCCCGGCAGAGTTACTGATGGGGCGAAAGTTACGCTCCAACATTCCAATGATAAGCGAGAGCCTGCAGCCAAAGTGGATTCATCTGGATGGAGCGACATCGCCAGAAAGCGCAAGACAAGCGCATCAAAGTCAAATAAATATATGACCAGAGACATCGAGTGTTCATAAGTTGATCGAGCTGGAAATCGAACAGAAGGTGTGGATCACAGATCGAAAGACGTACGGTAGGGTATTGCGTCGTCGAGAGGAGCCAAGACCTTACGAGATCGAGACATCTACCGGGGTCATCCGAAGAAATCGGGCGTTTCTCGTACCCGTCTAGAGAGACATAAAAGACAGCAGTTACGATCAATTCGTCAGTGAACCAGAGCAAGAGGATCAATCCGGAGCAGCAGCAGAGACAGAGGCGCGAGTAGCAGCCGGAGAGTCAGTCGGAGTGTCTCGAACAGAAATTCAGAGCAGGGAACAAGACAATACAGAACTATCCATACCATGGAAATTAAAGAGAGTTAGAAAGTCCCCAGACAGATTTGATTCCTCCAAGTATCGTAAATAATTTTAGAACACGCAACTGAGAAATTAATAGTAGGACCTCTATTAAATTAACAAAGGGGGATGTGGTATGTAGCGAGTCGCGAGGGACAATAGAGATATACAATAGAAATAGAGGAATCGATAGGTGGCGTGAGCGAGGAGGTTAGAGAAAGAATATAGACGAGATAAGATATATTTTGTACGTTGGCATAATAATAAAGCATTATATATATTGTGTGGATCCTGGACGTTTGATTATTGTCGGAGACATAAACCCTTGGTGAGCATAGCACAAATACTAAGAGTCCTGTACATTCTTTCCATTTTTAAATTCTTCATATTACTGTCGTAGTATGTTTGCGTTAAGGCTGAAAAATTTCGGCTTGCGATTATGGGGGGAACTACATAAGCAGTATATAGAATAACACACAATTATAATAAGCACTATGATCCAGCTTTGACCGTAATGGCTGAATTTCTTGTCTTATTATCAACATTTTATTAGATAATGATTATCCTTTAAGTTTTATTTTTGACACTGTCAACAAAAGAATAAAATACTTATTAAAAAGCTATAAAAATTCACATTCAGTACAAAGAGATAACTAACAAGGGGAGGGCGCGAGGTGTTACTCACCGATTTTAAAAAGGCTTATGAATGTTAAAGTACTGTAGTAATAGAGTACTTTGGTAGAGGGATACGACCCAACTCTCAGTCGCCTTCTCGACAATGGGTTTAACGCGACCGGTACATACGGAACTGTAAACTTTAATCTTTTATTTCTTTAGTACAACTTTATCTTGTTAATCATGGATTTGTCGGTGAGTGTTCATTTTCATCTTTCTTCAATCATTGTCATTAATTTTTAATTTTTACTTAGATTAACGTCTTGTCGTTTGCACATGACCTACCAACCATGTGGATTTGATTGTTTGACGTTGAGAGTGACCACTTTTCTACAGATTCATGTCTTTTATGTGAATTTACTACTGAAGATGGCCCGGATGTTAGGCCGAAACGTATAGTATTTTATATTTGACATTTTTTGATTGTTAACGAATATATATTGTTTTTTGTGATTTCGCATTGATAACAGCGAGTTTACTCTCATTAGCCTAGTTATTCTTTGTATTTGTAAACTTTAAACCGGTTTTTCTCGAAAACGGCTGAGAGTTGGGTCGTATCCCTCTACCAAAGTACTCTATTACTAGAATACTTTAACATTCATAAGCCTTTTTAAAATCGGTGAGTAACACCTCGCGCCCTCCCCTTGTAAGATAAAGAAGGTTTATCTTGGCTCACGGTACATTCCAGTCCATGCAGAAAAATTCAAACGATTTAACAAGAACGATATTAGAGTATCTTTTCGTAGTATAATAGAATAAAATGAGTAAATATATCAAGGTACAAAAAGACTCGTCTCCACACATCCAAAAATAATATCTACAAGATTCAATGTAATGATTGTGAAGCGTCTTGTGTGGGGCAGACATGACGCTTTGTCATAATGGTGTAATTAAATATAGGTCATATTTATGCTTAAAATGTTATTTTTAATTTTATTGACATTACAATGCCATTTTTTTAAATGTTTATTAATAAATTTTAAATTTATTTTAATAATTTAAATTTAACAATAATCAATCAATTACTTCGCCCCTTTTAATTTGTATTGATTATTGTTATATTAAGAGTCCTTGAATATTTTCATCTTATTAATTTAAATTTAATAATAAAAATTGTATATGTTCAGTAGACTCATCGTTAGATCCGGATAAGAGTAACATAAATTTCATTAATTTTGAGCTGGATATCTATAAAAATTCATTTTTTTAAATAAAGAATACACTGCTCTTTTAATTCTCTTTTAGCATTGACATTAAAAGAAGAGACTGCAGGATTGTTCTTTCGATTAAAAATTATTTGTAAATAGATTGTATATGAATATATTTAAGATTACCTGATTGAGCTGTTCTCTAGGACCAAGTTTGCATTGTGGAGCCGGTGCTGATCTCACAAAATCCATGCAGGTTTTGCCAGTCAGATCGTACTCAGTATCGCCGGCTTCCACTTGCACGGGAAAACACTCAGGATGCTGTCTTCCTAATGGCGAACAGCATGATAAGAAACTTCCATTGACACCTTGACTGAGCGCGGTCGCAGTGATGTCATGGTCCAAGAACTGGCCAAACACTGCCAGCATCACGGTGAAGGACGGATTACTGCTGGCCGAAGGTTTGTGTACTTTCAAACTAACTTCTCTAGCGGAAGGCAACTCGTTTCCGGACCGTGCCTTTCGAGGCGATTCGATTCCGTCGGCGTAATCGGACGGCAAGCATCTTCGAAAAGGCATCATACTGGCGCCCCAGCTTCTTGGCCGATTGCAGCTGCCGTCAATAGTTCGGTATTTGCCAGTTTTACAAGTGCGAGCGAAATATCGTTTGCACACATTTCTCGGTAACCAGCCGCTGTCGAAGATAGTATCGATCGCCGATGGTTTATCATGAGTGGACCTCAAATAAAATAATACCCATGAAATTCTATCAATCTAATCCTCTAATCAACTAAACATAGGGTAACTCCGGTATATATGCCGCATCTATCAAACACTTAATTTATTAAAAAACAAAAACTAGACTTGAATCTACAAAATGACACACTTTCTCTTGACCTTTTATATACAGATTTATTTTCGGAGACGTAATGCTTCTATTCTACAAATTTATTCTTGTCTATATTTATTATTTACCATTTATACATATTGTCATTGACATACATGTTCCGTTTGCTCACTGTTTTTCTTTATTTCATTTTACATTTGTCTGCCAAACAGTTAACGTCGTGGCTAATAATTTTCTTTTTATTATAATTTCATGTAAGTGAACTAAATTTTGATATCAATTACTACTTATAATAACTTTATATTAAATTATTCATAGTTGTGCCTACATAATAAACTGAACAGTATAATGGAACCAGTACAAATACTACACTAATAACAGCCTAATCTTGACAATCATGTAAGCCAATTTGTCATATCTTTTAACAAAAAATTTTTTTCATTAAAAATGTAAAGTATACTCTAACTCTTTTGGTTTCTTTTTCTTAATAATTTTTTGTAAACTTAACAATTTGACGTACACAAGATTTAATTTAAATTCGAACATTACCACCACGATATTTTGTACTTTACACTTAAATAATTTATATCTTGTATGCGCTACTATTTTGTATTATATGTAACTTTTATATTTAATTAATTTTCTTTGTACTGAAGAGAACCTTAACCGTAAAGGCGCAGGTACAATAGGGATTCGTAACGTTAACGTAACCGTAACTTAAGAAATCGGCCCCGTATAGTCTACAATGGCTGCCTGTAACCGTAACGTAACGTTAACTTAACGAACCGTAAGGAGTCGTTTTTAATCTGTGAAGCAGTATTTTGTGTTTTGACAATGCTAGACTAATTGTAGGATTTAAATAAATTCAAGTGTCGATGAAGTTGCTGAAGATAAACAAAAATTTCTGTACATTTTTTAATCAATTTTACAAATATTAATGTTTAAAAATTCCTTAAGTATTAATGTTTAAAAATTATTTTACAGATCCAAACATCACCCATTTATTTTCATATTTTTGTAAGATTAAAATTACATACTATATACTTTCTGGTTCGAACGTGTGAGTCCAGAAATTGCAGAACTTGAAATACAGCACTAGGACTCTGCGCTTTTGATCCTGATCCCGATGGGAAGGATCTGCTTTTAATATTCTTCGTTCTCTCGCGAAACGATCGCGCAGTTGATTCCACCGACTTTGGCAATCACTAACTATAGAGTACAATAATTACAATATACTTTTGTTTTTCAATTACGCTCAAAAATAAATATGTATATATAATAATGACAATTTATACACATCTGTTGAATTCATTGCTTTTGCAATGCTCTCCCATGAATTCTGTGCTTTTACACGATCTTTATAATCTGAACAGCTTTTGTCGTATAAGTGACTACACTTCTCGATCAAATCGATTAAAACCCGATCCGATCGTAAAGCATTATTATAATTTATTAGCTAAATGTGTAGGAAACAATTCAATCCCTTGATCTAACCTCTATAAAATTTTTTCCTCAACGTAACCGTAAAGAGTTCAAATAATTTAACTTTTTACGGAAGTGCTCCTTCGGTGGTCTACGGTTACGGTTAAGATTAGGTTACGTTACGGATCTCCATTGTAGATGATCCTTAAGTCGAAACCGTAAGTCGTATACGCTTTATTATTCATTTCAAATAAATTTTATATAAAAAAAAAAAATTAATAACTGTGTCAGCTCATATTGACATTTTATTGATTTTTTTGGATTTATTCATCTTAACCTATTAATTACCTTGTTTTTTTTTCAAATGTTTCAATTTTTTTAAACGCTCTTTACACAGTACATAAAAATAATATTATATTCTGAATTTTGATGCGAATTATGATTGTTTAAGATAATTTTAATAATTTAATTTACATATAAAAAGTTTATTAATAATATTTTTGCATAAAAAAAATTGAAGATGTGTCATATTTTGTGATACTTGCAGGAAAAAACGAAGTCTTACCTCATTTTCTCGATCATTTTCGTCGCCGCGATTTCGCCCACCGCTGCTAAAGCAAGAGCACTAACGTTGGAACATGTGCTCACCGCGTGACGATGTCTGGATTCAGGAGATGAAAATAACAACGGCGACTTCGCGGCGATCGCATCCGCGGATTGACGATCCTTCATCGCCTGTTCGCCAGCTCGTAATCCTTGGATATATTCCAGTTGGTTCCAATGCTTTTTTGACGTATTGATATCCTCTTTAGGTATTAAGATAGAATTGAGCTCAGTTGTGGCACTAACGGTACTGCTGAAGGCTACGTGCGAAATAGACTCAAGTGCCAGTCCTAATATCAAGGCACTACTTAAATTGTCAGGAGACGTTGCATTGTCATTCGCTGGATTAGTGGAAATGGTATGACTCATAGAGTAGCTAACGGATACCACTAAAGCCATGGTGAAAACCACTCTGTGAAATCGTGAATCGTATTGAAAAATCTAATCGCTCGATAAACTTTTAATTACTTCAATATTTACGATATTTTCGTCACGTAATTTAACGTCTTTTAGTAACATGATCAAATTTTTGAGTTTACTGATAGCTCGATGTATTAGGTCAATCGGAAAGTTCCATCCATTTAACAGCAAGTATCTATAAGCTGGAATTGTCGATAATTACAATGTTTAAATCCAGCTTAATTTTTTAGTTTTACCATCTGTTAATAAAATCAGTATATAAAAGTATACGTTTGCATCAATAACTTTGTTTCTTACTGAATTAAAATGTCGACATTTGAACCAAACAAACGTATTTGCGTGAAGTGTTAATCTTTTGCTTCAAATGGAAGAAAACTGCTGCTGAAGCTCGTGGAATGCTTATAGAAGTTTATAGTGATAGTGCTCCTTTCAATAAGACATGCAGGGAATGGTATCGACGCTTCCAAAGTGGTAATTTTGATGTGGAGGACAAAGAGTGTTCTGGATGGCTAAAATTATTTGAAAACAAAGAATTGCAGAATGAGTACCCATGTCAAACGCAAAAACAACTTGCAGAAGTATTAAATTGTGCTGAATCTGTTATTTCCGATTGTTTAAAAACCTTAGGAAAGGTCTACAAGGAAGGAAAATGGGTCCCATATGAATTGAAGCCAAGAGACATTGAAAGGCGTAAACCTACCAGCGAAATTCTGTTTGATAGGCAACAAAGAAAGAATATTTTGGATTGAACTGTGACTGGCGATGAAAAATGGATCCATTTCGATAAACGCCGAAAAATTATTTGTGATCCAGGCCAACCATCGACATTGACGTAAAAACGCAAGATTCATGGGAAGAAGGCTCTGTATTTGGTGGGACCAGAAGGGTGTAGTGTACCATGAGCTGTTGAAATCTGGTCAAACAGTCACAGGAGATCTCTACCAACAACAAATAATCCATTTGAGCCGAGCATTGCGCGAAAAACGACCAGAATATAAGACAAGACAGCATAAAGCGATCTTGCTTCACGACAACGCTCGACCTCACGTCACAAAACTCATTAAGGAAACGTTAGAAGCACTTCGCTGAGAAGTACACTATCCCATGCGACTTATTCACTAGACTGTGCCCCTTCCAACTACCACTTATTTCGATCGATGGCACATGCACTTGCTGAAAAACGCTTCAATTCTTATGAAGACGTCGAAATGGATCTCTGACTGGATAGTCTCTAAGGATGAGTCATTCTTTCCCCACGGAATTCGCTTGCTGCCCGAAAGATGGGAAAAAGTCATCTTTAACACAATAGACAATATTTTGATTGATGTACTTTTCCATTTCGTTTCTTAAATAAAATCAAATTTTTTACAAAAAAAAACAGACAGAACTTTCCGATTGACCTAACATTTAGAAATTCTATAATATATAGTTATATTAAAGTTTGAATTACTAAATATTTATTTCTGAACTTTTCATGTTTTTATAAAATAGCAAGTTTTTTAATTTATTATAGCTGCAGTTTTTGTAAGTAAAATATGTATACACTTACTTTTAAAAGTTAAACGAAGTAAAGAAATAAAAATTTGGATATAATTTAGTAAAAATAATTGATATTAAAACAATGCTCTCGATGTCAAAACAATAATAAAGATAAAGTACAGGGCAAATCCTAAAATCATCAATAAAAAAATTAAGAAACTTTTACACTTAAAAAATTAAAAATATAATTAAAACAAAATCAATCTTAAGAAATTTTTACGTTCTTAAGTTTGCATTCCTAAAAGAGTTTCCGTTGTTCATATGCATATAGTTTGATTTCGTTTTAATTATATTTTTAATTTTTTAAACTTAAAAATTTCTTAATTCAAAAACAAATTAGAGAGAATAAAGAGCAATAAGAGCCAGGAAGACGCGCAATTAAAAACAACACAACTAAGTGATAAAAACCATTTATTCAAAATTTTCTTTTTTATTAAGATATTAGCGCTCTTACATGTTTCGGCTAATTTTTTAGCCCTCTTTAGAGAAACAAAGTAATTTACATAACTATTCAATATAATTTTTCAATCAACGGTGAACTTCTCCATGTCGTGATAATTAAGATACAGAGTAAATAACAAATAAAACTAAATGGATGAAAAAGAAAAAAAAAGAAGAACAGAATAATTGAAAATATCAGAAATAAAAAATTGTGAGAACTAATTACCAAAGAATTAAAATTATAATAAATCATCCCGAGAATAAAGGAACTCATGATTACAAAGTACCGCATCGCAAATAATACTAATATTAATTAAAAACCAGTTCTCAATATCCTGATCAGTCAAAACAGGAAGTCAATTAATTAAATTTGGTCAAAGGTATAGAATGAAAGAAAGCAGACGATCCACAAAAGCCAAAATGACTTATTACTGTGTAAGAGATCTCCTATTACCGATTCCCGTTTGTTCTAGTTCTACCAAGAGTCTCATCGAGGCACTGTTATGTTCGCCACTCACGCCGCGCAGACTCTGCAGTGTGATTAATCGAGATAGCCACGCGAGGCTATCATTGGTCGCATGAGTTATTTCAAAGGGTACGTTCCGAGTTACGCATGAAACGCGTAGACTGCATAGAAAATCATTCCGCATCATTTTTTTTTCTTGGTAATGGTTTCCGAACGGTACTCTTTCAGTATGTCTGCATTGATGTTCTCTAAACTATTTTGACATAATACATTTTATTACTGAAAGATAATGCAATTAAAGTGAATACGTAATTATTCCAATGTCAAAATATTACTTACGTATAATCAAATATGCTAATAAACGTAATAAGTTTTTTGGAAATAATGTTATTACGAAATTGATTATCAGAACAATTCTTTCTCACGATATTAATTATTAATTAGAATAATAATTTGTAAAAGTATACTTATCTTAATTAACACGGTGTGGAGGAGCTCACCGTTGATTGAAAAATTGTATTGAATTGTTATGTAAATTATTTTGTTTCTCTAAAGAAGTCTAAAAAATTAGCCGAAACATTTAAGAGCGCCAATATCTTAAAAGAAAGGTTTTTGAATAAATGGTTTTTGTCACTTAATTGTGTCGTTTTTAATTGCGCGACGTCTTCTTCGTCCGTCTCCTATTGCCTTTATTCTCTCTAACTTGTTCTTGAATTATAAGGAATATTAATTGGTTTTATTATTATATGGTTTCTTAATTCTATTTGTCGACGATTCCCGGAGATTTACCTTTTACTTTATCTTTATATTATAATTTAGTAATCTTACAAATTGAAATAATAATATGATAAGAACAAGGACAAGTAAGAGTCGGTAACCATTTCTTATTCAAATTTAAAGTCAAGATATAAAATATTGTTAAATTAAATTAACATATTAACAAACGCCAAAAAATGTAAGAGATTATATAAAAAAAATTATAAAGTGTGTCCGGTCAGACCTTTCCCACTGCATACAGGAAGGTAGATGGGATCGAAATAAACATAAAAGTCCTTTACCGTTTATCGAAATTTGTAATAATAATCAAGATATTAATATTTACAATTGTACTAATAAGAGCGCTCCGATGGAAACGCTCTGGCCGCTCGAGATATAGCCCGGTCCAGTTTGTCAAACGATGATCGCGTCGGCAGCGCGTTGGAGAGGTAGGAGGGGAAGCGCGTAGTTGCTTAGCGTCCGCATCGCGCTTCCCCTCCTACCTCTCCAATGCGCTGCCGGCGCGATCATCGTTTGACAAACTGGACCGGGCTATATCTCGAGCGGCCAGAGCGTTTCCATCGGAGCGCTCTTATTAGTACAATTGTAAATATTAATATCTTGATTATTATTACAAATTTCGATAAACGGTAAAGGACTTTTATGTTTATTTCGATCCCATCTACCTTCCTGTATGCAGTGGGAAAGGTCTGACCGGACACCCTGTATATGTCAAGACATAATTCATTTATTTAAAATTTGTGACAAGGACTCTTATTATAAACAATAATCAAACATAATATAAGGGCAAAGAAAGAGTCAAAATAATTTAAATATAACTGATAACAAATTTACTTATGAAATAAAACTAAATAAATTACAATAAATAAGCAGTTTTCAACAATAATTTGACTTAAAATTAATTAGACATTAAGTGATCAGTTTCGACTCTCTAATTGAGTCCTCTTCAGACTTCGATTCATATTTTGACTCTTTCTTTGCCTTTATATTATGTTTGATTATAATTCATTTATACATGTTTCGGTCCCTGGATTGGACCATCCTGAGATGATAAAAACATTGAACGAAATAATGGAATATAACTGAGAATCAAACATCATATTAAGTCAAAGATAAATCCTCTTTCCGAGTGATACCAGAGTTGCTCGCAAACGATTGTCGGAACGTTTATTTGTAACGTCTTGATAGTCTATTAATAAAAGTTAAATATTACTATCAGGTTAAATATAACTATCAAATGATTTAAAAATCGCTTGGTTTTGAACACTCATTATATCAATCAAAAAGAAGAGATCATTATCGTTGTAACAAAAATTGACATAGTAGTAGTAGTGGTAGTAATAGCTTGCAGGTGGGCTTTATTAGCCTTCAAACGTGACCTAGATCCATGAGGTTCTATTGTCACTCCCTGCTTGTTCCGTAGGTCATACAATCAAGCCCAGTCTCGTATCGTTTACCAGTCTTATTAGACTGTTGAGCTTCGCATCTTCTAGATCCTTGGGTGTCATAAACATATGTCCTCAGGATCTGTATCTTTTACAAGCGAGTGCAGGGCAGCGACATAATAGGTGCATGTTGTCCTCGCTTTCTTCTCTACATAGCCGGCATTCTTTCTGTTCCGTTAGTCCTAGGTTAAATAGATGTGCTCTGAGAGGCATGTATGACGTCAAGAGGCCTATACCGCTCCTCAGTTTTGCTTTTCCCATTGCCAACAATTCTCTAGTTCTTGTTGGTTTGGGATGTCTCATAAGTTGTTTGGCTCGTTTGCAGCCCTCTGCCCCCTTCCAGGAGCTCGAGTGTTCCCGTTCAAGCCACTCTTTGATCATTTTTGTTCCTGCTGAAAATGGGACCCAGACGATCTGTTCAGTCGGGACCTTTTCAATACCCAGCTTTGCCAGCTCGTCCGCTCTCTCATTTCCAGATATACCCTGATGTCCAGGAACCCATACTAGGGTTACTTGATTTGTTGCCCCTAGTGTTGTGAGTGCTTGCATACAGTACCATACCACAGATGATTCTGTGGAGGTTCTTACAAGTGCTTCGATAGCTGCTCTGCTATCTGTGTAAATATGTATTTGTTTTCTGCTTTTCCCCTTTAGCAGAAGTTCTGCACATTTCAGAATGGCCAGCACTTCAGCTTGAAACACTGTGGTCAGCTCACCCATTGGTATGCTTACCTCATGGTTTATATTGGGCCCATATATGCCTGTCCCATATCGACCATTTGCTCCCGATTCATCTGTGAACCAAGTGTCTACGTTTGGATTGGTTTTGAAGTTGTAACGGTGCCCCCCTAAAATGCATCGTTCCTATGGTGCCATCGAAAAAGGGGCAACGCGCCTGTAAATATGTTACACAATAATTCTCAGAGACAGCAGCCGCCGAAAACGCCGACCGTCGTCGAGAACCGCTGATCGGAAATCTTCTCCCACGAGAAGCCGATTGGCGGAAAATATCGAGACCGACCGGAGTAATACAAGCGAGACTGGCGGTCTAGTATAAGATACCGCGACAACGGGCTGCGCGTGGCATTTTTCGCGTCGTTATCATCCTGACAGCTCCGCTCACCAAATCCTAGACCACGCACCGAAACCGTTCCAGAGACTCACTCGTTCCGACGAATCTGAGGGGTAGGGCGTACCCCGCTTCTACCGGGTGTTCCCGGCCGACGGACGAGCCGTCCCGGATACGACTTCCGAGCACGGAATTTCCGGACATTGTAACGCGTTGCTCCGACAAACCTGAGGGGTAAGGCGTACCCTGCCTCTACCGGGCGTTCCCGGCCGTCGAACAACCACTGCAACGACTGTGACCTTCTTCCGCTCCTTTTTCCGCATCCCGAAATTCCCGTCCCGATACTTGACATTCGAAAAGGGGTAGGGCGCTCCCTGCCTCTGTCGGGCGTTCCCGGCCGTCAAGTATCGGCTCCATTTCCTTCGCACCCATCTTCGATTTACGCGTCGCGCCGCGATTTTCCATTTTTGCTGGCGTATACCCGCGTTCCACCGCGTCGCTAATCGCCGCCCCGCGAGGCCGCGCCGCACAGTGGGACGAATGGGCGTGATTCCAGACATTAGGGTCAAATAACAAAATATGGAATTTGTTAAAATAATATATAAAATCTCATTCTTTAATAAATTCTCCATTTAGTAATGCGTTGTTAATCTTTTAATTGTTTAAGGTATATTTTTGGGCGGTATGTAAAGTTACGAATTTAGAACGCTTTCGCAATTCCAGTATTTGACATTTTGTCTTCTCTCGCTCTTGATAAATAATATTCATTTAAAATAATGAACTTGTGCAATTCTTATCAAATAGGTTCTATTTAATATAAAAAAAATGAAAATTTATTATATTGAACAATATATATATTGTTTACCTCCTATCACAAAGTTCATGCTTGGTATTTTCTATACATACGATAATAAAAATACCATATAGTTTTTTGATTAAGACTGATTAAATAATTCATTATACCAAATTGAAGGTCACTTATAGGACTACAAGGCCTGAAAAGTTTTCGTCCCGCTTCGACTGTAATCCGCATTGAAATGATAAGTGATGAAAAACCGTTATACCTTGTTTTAGATATCAGGTCAATCAGTGCCGTCAGTGGGTAGTTAAAACATCCAAAAAATGTGCACAGGTTCTTTTATTGCACTAATTAGATCATCTGAATTGATGAAATATAAATTTTCCCCGTATTATTATATATATCGTTAAGCAAATTAATGTAGGAAAAAAAAAATCAAAATTAATGAAGTATAAATGGCTATACAGAGTCATACGCTGTTAACGGAGCGCGGATAATACAAAAGAATCTTACATTTAGATTCAAAAATTCGGAGTCGAACGTTTCGGTCCTTTAATCTAGACCATCATCAGCGACAATATAAAATAATCTTAGAGATGGCGACTCCGAATTTTTGAATCTAAATGTAAGATTTTGTGTATTACCCGCGCTTCGTTAACAGCGTATGACTCTGTATAGCTATTTATACTTCATTAATTTCGATGTTCTTCTTTTAAACTTTAAAGAGAGTCTGTAATTCAATTTAAATTTACGTCATTTTATTTATTTATTTTAATGTAGGAATAGAATATTTTGTGCAATCAAGCATGTACTTATTCGCGCGTAAAACATGTAACTTCTCAATAATCGAAGCTATTCTCATAATAATGTCATTTTTGTGAAAATTGGCCGATAGATGGCGCACACTTATACAAGGTTTTAAAGTCACTACATTTATAAAGTACCGCAATTCACTTCAGGAATGTTGCGTCAAAATGGCTGAAGTGCACATAGTACACGATTTAAAGTACACCAACGTACGCATTGGGTAAATTTAATTAAAAAAAAGATTTAAAAGAATAAGGGCACTAGGAGTTTTATTTTTTAGTTTTATTATTACATTCATCATTCTAAAATCCGTTTTTACATTAAATTCAAAATAAGCGTCCCCAAAAACCTCTAAGTACTAATTTTCATTTCATTATAAGAAAAATTGAATCAGTTATTCTAAAATGTCCATTTATTTGGCGTTTCGTCCCACTGTGCGCCGTCAAGTACCGCCGTCAATCAGCGAGCGACCGAAAAACTCGCGACGTCAGCGGGACCGCCTTGCCGTACGCAAGAACCGCCGAATTCGCACATCCCGGTACCTACTGACACCTCGCGATCGCTTGTAAATACTTCGCGCGTTTAGGATTAAGCATTGTTGTATTGTCCGCGTCCGATTATTTTTCTCCGTTTCTGTATCGCCGTTATTCGCGTTTCGTTATATCATTGTTCGCGTTGTCCGTATCACACCGTTCTTTTGCTCTTATATTATATTTCTCTGTGTTATTTTTATTTTCGCTTTTCTTTGTAATAAATTGTGTTCGTTCTCAACTATCACTTTTATATTATTTCTTTTACTATCTCCGAAATACCGATCCAACGCGAATACTCCTCCTGCTGAACCTTTTTTATACGACACGTATTTTCGACGAGCTAGTCCGAGTATAAAAATCAGGTAGTTACAAGTTAGGCTTTCTCCAGTCCTCCCTAGTCGGTATTTGAACTTTAAACCAACTGGTGTCTTCTATGGGGATCCTGTCTTGTTCTAGGTTGAAAGGGTGTTTATCGGAAAGTCTCAGTCTGGTGTGTCCAGTCCTGGTTTCCTTCCACTCACTCTGACATTTTAATCTGTATGCTGTTTGCCTGGCTGTGTATTTAATCACCTGGTTTAAGGGCGGAATACTGAGTGCTACTTGTAGCGCCTCAGTTGGTGTAGTTTTCATGGCCCCTCAGGTATCCTCCCTGTAGGCTTTTGAGCAGGTTCTCCGCCTCCACCTTTTCCGCCTTTGACCACCAGACCACCGCTGCATATGTGAGTCTTGGTAACAATACCATCTTGTATATAGCCATAAGGCTGTCCTGAGATTTAGTCCCCAGTTCTTTCCCATGGCTCTTCTACAATCCCACATAGAGGTGTAGAATTTCTTCCTCTTTTCCTCAAGGTGTGGTTTCCAGCTCAATTTGGAGTCTAATAGGACCCTCAAATATTTTACTGAATTCACATAATTTATTTCCTTCCCCCAAAGCCTTAGTGTCTCAATGGGTTCCTGTTTGTATTTTCTGGTGAAGATCATGGCCGAGGTCTTTGTGGGGTTTACCATCAGTCCCCTCGTCCTACACCAGTTTTGTACTATCACCAAGGCTTCGTCCATCCGTTCCTTGAGTATTGAGAGGAAGAAAATTGACATAAATAACAATAAAACGAAATCATTAATATGTACAAAGAGTAAAAAGTATGAAATAATTTAGATGATGTGTATAGTTTAAGAAACGACAATAACTGATATATGACAATGTTATGCGTAAGGATCGAATATAACACACAAAGTCAGATTTTGTTTATAATTGGTATATATGTCTTATGTAATCGTTCATTATGTGTCTGGAGGTTGAGACTATTCATCTGTTTCTTTATGTGCAACATTACTTTTCAGAAACAAGACATTTTTTTATATAACAGCGTTTTTCTCGTCAAAGATTTGTACATCGTTCCAATCAAAATCATAATTAGCCTGCAATCTATGTTCGGTAATGACAGATCTGGTAGAGATATTCCACTTAATATGATTATGATGCTCTGTAAAATTTTAGTTTTTAAAGGTCTACCAGTCTGACTGACATATAATGCATTACAGTTTTTACAATTAATCTCATGTTACGTCCTGTAGACTCCACGATTCTTTTCCTTCATAGGATCTTAATCAGCGTCACGACAAGAATGACATTTACTAGAAGGAACCGAGTGCGGATATCTGATAATGAAGCCTAAGTAAACTCCACGCACTGGGAAACTCGTAAATGTCACTCAACAGAAAAATCAAAAGAGAAAAAGCAGCATGCGTACAAAGGCTGGCAGCGCGGCGATAAATATTGCGAAACCGTATATTCCTAATGCTAGCAGTCACGGGATAACGAACACTCAAAGGTCTGGGAATGATCCGCGCTTTTAAGAGAAAACTCGTTTAAGAAATAACATCCTCACAAACCTTTTTTCCTCCCGAGCAGGTAACCGTAGTGTACCTTCCTGGAGTTACTACCCCCTTTCTAGCTCCATTGAGCACTCTTCACCTTGTTCTTGCCGTCGTAATCCTCCCTAACTCCTCCCCCGCCCCCTCTTCTTCCGTCCATTGAAATTCACACACAATAGGGAGTTCTCATAATTTTTGAAAAATATACCATTTTATAATTTATATATATATATCTTTAACTGCAATGTTCAAATAATTTTTAAACGCAAATTATGCAAGAAAATAAATAATCAATGATTTATCTGCATTATTCTGTTACTTCTGAAGAAGACTCAATCCACGAGTCGAAACACGTAAAGTTTTATAGATTTTATGATTATGGTTATTTATTTTTGTATTAAGTCTGTTCTTGCTTTTTATATTTATGTATATTTTTATATCTTCGAATTTATTCTCACTTTCCTGTCATGTTATATTATTTCATTTTATCCTTTGACTACGCGATTAAAGAAATTTTAATGTTTGACTCTTAATTTGTCTTTTTAATTTCTATTTATATTTTAGAATAAGAGTCCTTTATTTATTTATTTATTATTGTTTTCTAACGCTGACTGTAAATATGCGTAACACATTTATTTCTTTTTTTAAATATGT